ATTTAAGATTTTTTCCTCCGGGATAAACCGCGGGTAGTTAAATTCCCCAGGGGCCGAAATTTCTGGGGTCTCGCTGGGAACGAAGCAACGGACAACCAGCCGGTTGCAGCTCTTCCCAACACACGGGGAAACCGGTTATCTGAATTTGGACAGACAATATAAGGTTTTCGTCTGACTACTTTCCGTAACCACCACGACACTGGGTAACTATGACGAGAGAAACAAGAGTGACAAGACAGGGTTGCTGTGTGCGAACGGAGTCGAACACAAATGAGCCCGTTCCATTGCACAGGCTCGCCCTGGATCTGAGTGTTTTGATGCGACTGTCTATATGTGGTCATATAATGTCTGAGCTAGCCTGCGACAAACGGCAAGTCGTCAAGTTAGAGCCTGTGCTCTGCATGTCGCTGTTACTGGCGGAGAAATCAGGGACTCCCCGAGTCCCCTTCTCTCATACTCGCTGGCAGCACGGAGCGCGGACAGATCCGAGATCTGCGTGACTCGTGTCAGTGTGTCCGATTTGTACTCAGAAGGTTTGGATTGCCACAAACCTACGTACATACCACGTAGCACCATATTTGCAATACGTAAACTCTGTTAGGAAAGACATTTGTTTGCAGGAACGTCTTTGAATGGCGCAAAAACATTGGCTAGGTACACCCGCGAGAAAAACTTTTATTGAACTTTAACGCTCGGTTGTGTTTCTAGGTGTGCTTGATGCGAGTTGTGCGAGATGAGCTGACGGGCTGATCAGCGGACGAAGAACGAAGATGAGCTCCTCCCGAACGGAACCCACAGCTGTCGCTGATCGAGGGGGAGGGAGGGCGGTGGGCAGTCCAGATTTTAGACCCCCTGCGTCTTAGTGCGGGTTGCAGAGGTCACGATTAGCTGGATGAGCAGTTGGACGTCTTGAGGGTTCGGATCATCATCGTCACATCCGATTCGACGGAGGCTGTCTTGAACGAGAGCGATGAAAAATACCTAATATTGGTGTGTGTCGGAAAAATACAGCGAAAACCCCTACTCTGTAGGACACTCCTGAATGAGGCAACACTCTGCTAATAAGGACACCGTCGTTTCCCACGAACATGTTCATGCATGCACAGTCCCCTCCTAGCGCACTCATAATACGCTCAGCACGAGTAAGTGGGACGTGTCTGATCTGTAGACCGCTGGTGTCATGGTAGCCAGTGGTGATGGGATGTGGTGCGGGCGACGTTTGATCCTGAGATAGTTGCACGGGGAAACGGAAAACTACGAGTCACTAGCACAGCGGACGCTGCAAAATCACCAGTGAGCACCATACACTATATGCCAGAATGAAAAGTACAAACGTACCGTAACCCTCGCTGCGCATGCACGCGCCGAGGAGTAATTATAGTCCGTTTGTACACGAACTATAGCGACACTGTCAGATATGAGATGATTTCATATGTAGTAATGGGATACATCTAATAAAGTAGAGAGTAACCTATAACTACAGGTACCTGAGGGTTGGCATGGTGTATTGCGTTGGTCTCTGTACCAGATGAGATGGACTCTGTACGAAGTTACACTAAGACGTGCCCGTCAGCTGGAACAGCATCCGTCATCTCGCCCATCCATCAGCAGATAGCAGTGTATTCCGTAGCTTATCATAGTCTCGCCTTCCAGTACTGGCGGCTTTATTCGCCTTGGCTTGATCTGTAAGACAGAAGTAGTTACGTACGAGAGAAAAAGAACACACGCAAACGTTTTTTAACTTCTACTGTAATGTATAACTGTTATTTGTACTAGCTAACAAAAGCGATCAAAGTACGGTACGACGTGTGTACGTATGTATGTGCCTACGCTGACAGCGGTCGTCGTTTGAGTTCTCTCTCAAACCTTTTAGAGAGTCTATGTGAATTTGTATCATGTCTGTAGAGAGTGAGAGAGTATAGTCTTGATCACTAAGTATACTAGTACAGTATATAGGGATGACACAGGTTGTCCTGCATTCTGCCAGCTTTGAGATTTTCATGTTTCCGTAAGTTATGTGTGTCTCGTGTGTGTAGAGCTTGACGCTATGATTGTCTAGTCATGTGATTTGCTACTGGTCGGTAGAGAGTGAGAGAGAATTTACATGTATACGTACATTATGTGCTATAGTCTCGATCAGTAAGTACGTATGGTATAGTGGTTGTCCTGCATTATGCCCATACATTTGAGATTTGCACGTTTCGATTTTTCCAATAATTATGCAGCTATAGTTTATATTGACGAATGTTATAAGAAAAGTATGCAGTACATTGTACACCTTTCATCTGCCCCCTGATTTTTCCATGACGATTGAACTCGAAATTCAGTTCCAATTCCACCATTCTCAGGAACCGGCTTATGAAATCCAACAAATCCTCTTTTAACACCTCTCGCTCCTCATCTAGAAAATTATGCGAAAACAAGAATTATCTAAAAAATTGGAGTTTTGAAAACTTACAACCGGAGTATTCGACTGGTATTCTCATTTGGAGGATTCTCTGGACAAACAGGATTAACTGGTTTTGGACTGCATTCTCTTCTTGTTGGGTTAGTTGTTTCTGTTGGCCCTCCGTGAGAGTAGGCCATTTTTTCAGCTGCGGGGAGAGAGATGAATCACTCCCGAAGATTATTTCACTGCACACTCCAGCTATAGTCAGGTATTCAGGATGGTTGGTAGGCCTGTCTTCTTGCTTGCTAAAAGTACGAACATTTAGGCCACCCTATTCTTTCACTGCACACTCCAGCTATAGTCAAGTATTTGAGGTGTAGGGTTTAGGATGGTTAGTGCCTGTCCTTCCCTCCACTTGCCTTGCTAAAAGTACAAACAATTTAGGCCACCCTACTCTTTCACTGCACACTCCAGCTATGTCAAGTATTCGGATGGTTCGTTGGCCTGTCCTTCCCTCCACTTGCTTGCTAAAAGTACCAAACACTTTGTGGCCACCCTATCTTTCACTGCACACTCCAGCTATAGTCAAGGTATTCAGGATGGCTGGTTGGCCTGTCTTTCCCCCCACTTGCTAAAAGTACGAAAAGTTTAAACTGGTTTCTCAAACCTGTTTGGCAAGATGGTGCATGGCTTCCTGGGCAGTCACAGGCTCGGCGTTGGGCGGCAACACTCCCTCGGACACACCCGGCAACACGACACTCGCCCTCATCCTCATTCTAAAAATAGATTAAAATAGCCATTACATCATACTAGTTCAAAGTTCACTTTATGCTTTTCGACAAGTACATTCACGTACAAATAGCACTTGGTCGCCAAAAGTATATGTTGTATGTGTAAGTACGTAAGTAATTGGTTGCTAAAAATAGCCAATTAAGCCACGCCCACCTCATGCTCTTGGAGAGGGCAGTCCGTCTCATGGCCCGCAGAGCAGACGGATCCGACGATCGTAACCGTTGGCGACTGCGAAGAGTTATCTCGCCAATCTCCGGCTCAAGAGGATCGGCCAAATCAACTGAATTAGAGATGATGTATTATCATAATAAACTTGTTACTGTATCTTTTCACAAATTTTAGTTTGCCCGGTTAACATTATAAAAATTCACACCTACGTCTGTATTCACTGCATTGCGGATAAGTGTTTAACCCCTTAGCTTACTATTGTCCTCGGGTCTGTCGCCCACGGTGACCCTCTGCGAGCCCGTCTTGGGTGGGGTCCTGTCCTGATCGGTCAGTTCGAGTTCGGCGTAGATTCGAACAAGCTCGGCCTGCACGGCGGAGTAGAGTGCCGACTTCCAGAAGTCGAGCTTCGTCCAAATGAGTGGTGTTGCAAATGTGTGCAGATGTGCTGATGAACACCAGGGTTAATCTCCTATGTGGGCGAGAACAGGGAATTCACAATCCCAGCAGTGAAATTTCTCTTAGGCTTGGTTCGTGCATGTATGTATGTATGTATGCCCACACAATATGGCTTTTTTTGACACTGACAGCCACCCTATCCCTTCCTCTCCCTCTGCCTCCCTCCCCCTCCCTCTCCTTCTCCCTCTCACCCTGTACATGATGGTAGACACTGGCAGAAGGGCCATAGCAGTCTTATTGTCAGTCACGGAGCTGTTGATGATCTTCACCAGAATGTCAAACTGATCAGAACTCAGCACCACACTGTTCACCTATAACATTGCAAAAAGACATACACATAATTATGTAGAACAACGGAAGTTAAAACCTCTCTATTAAAAGAAAATTGCGAAAAAACGATTTTGAAAAATTCTGCTAAATCTCAAAATAGTCACAATATAAACTATTTTGTTCCCTAAAATTGTACCAGTGAATGGACTAATATTAATTCAGTCCTAACAATATCACATTAGTTTCGTTTTTACCTAGACCAACATTCTGCTAACCTGCATGACTCTCTGGACCAGTTCCGGTACCAAGGAACGGACCAGGGACAGTTGTTTGAGGGCCTGTGTTACCATGGGGATGTACTTTCGAGCTTCGATGACCTTGCTCTGAAACAACATGTCGAGACAGCTGCGTAGGCTTCAAGATCTCGCTGGAAGTTGGGTGACGTGTTTTTGTCTGTGTTTGACTGTGGAGAGTCCAGGAATGGGACGTCACTGGTAAGAGAGAGATAACAGAGAGAAGAGAGAGAGAGAGAGAGAGAGAGAAGAGAGAGAAGAGAGAGAAGAGAGAGAGAGAGAGAGAGAGAGAGAGAAGAGAGAGAAGAGAGAGCAGAGAGAGAAGAGAGAGAAGAGAGAGAGAAGAGATGAGAAGAGAGGAGAGAGAAGATAGAGAGAGAGAAGAGCGAGAAATCAGAGAGAGAGAGAGAGATGAGAAGCGACGAGAAGGAGAGAGATAGGGAGGAGTGTGTAACATGCAGATGTCAGGGTAAAAACAAACAACATGGCGAAAAATTTCAGTATTGCATTAAGTAGAAGAAAAAAACAGAACACCTGCATACTCACCGCAATTCTTCTTCTTTCTCTTCTTCCTCCTCCTCCTTGCCTTTCCCTGACAACAGCTGCATTGCTTGCTCCACTTTCTTCTCCCTCAACTGAAGAAAAACCTACACCCAACAGCCGAGAGGGAAATTGAAGCCGAAAACATAACTATTATCGGAGGTTTTTCTGCCTTACTTAGAAGGGCGTGCAATCTGCTGAGGTGTTAGGTTGTCTGTTTTGAACTGGTCGTCTCCACAGGCGGTAGGAGGGAGCTTGAAGAGGGGAAAAGAGCAGAGACAGAGTTAAAAAGGTGTAGGGGACGTGTAAGTATACCAGTTCTTCAGCGAGATTAGCAAAGACAGAGTTAAAAAGGTGTAGGGGACGTGTAAGTATACCAGTTCTTCAGCGAGATTAGCAGAGACAGAGTTAAAAAGGTGTAGGGGACGTGTAAGTATACCAGTTCTTCAGCGAGATTAGCAAAGACAGAGTTAAAAAGGTGTAGGGGACGTGTAAGTATACCAGTTCTTCAGCGAGATTAGCAAAGACAGAGTTAAAAAGGTACAGGGGATATGAAGTATATATGTACCAGGTGCAGCAGTTCCTCAGCGAGATCACCGATGTGCTGTTCAGAGTACAGATATTCCGGTCCGTACAATTCGGGACTTTCTGCATATCTAGCTATCAACTGCAACAGAGCACAAAGAGCATTTCGTATTCTACGAGGATATGAAGATACTGACACGTGTTAAAAAAATACACTTATTGGCTTCCAATGTTTTTTTGTTGTATTAATGCATGTAACAATAGACCATGTGATGCATGTACGCACTAAATATTTTAGAAAGATTATTAAAAAAATTTTTTTATTGCTTTCCAATGTTTTTATTGTTGTATTAGTACACACTAAATATTTTAGAAAGATTATAAAAATTTTTTTTTATTGCCTTCCAATGTTTTTATTGTTGTATTAGTACACACTAAATATTTTAGAAAGATTATAAAAAATTTTTTTTATTGCCTTCCAATGTTTTTATTGTTGTATTAATGCATGTATGCACTAAAAATTGTAGACAGATTACAACGATCAGCAAACCATCAAAAATTTTTTTCGTGACCAAAATAACCATAAATGTGGCGTGTTTTATAATATACCTCATCGAAGTGGTCACATCTGCGGTAAGGAAGGGAGCGAGAATGGACGAAATCCATGAAAGGGATTCCGTCGACTATCTTATGCAGCAGACTGTGGCTGTCTTCACTGGAGTGACTGTGAAGATAGGCTTCCTGAGTAGACGGAAAAGACGAAGGTATGTAGGTTAGGTAAGGTAGGGAGGGAGGGATCGGGAGGGAGTGAAGAGAGAGGGAGGGAGGGAGGGAGGGAGAAAGTATACAGGAGTATAAAAGATGGTTAAAACAGCTCGTCCTTGCTCATGATAGAAGCACATAAAACAGAAATATGGGCAAAAAGTTAAATGTCCTTATTTCTTATTTCATGGGTTGTTCCTGGGATTAAAAAGTGCCTTTGTTTAGTCCTCACTTCCAAATTTTCTTTAGAGGGGTTTTTAAAAAAGATTATATAAACCTTGTTGAAGGTAAACGAAGGTGACGGATGAAATCGGAGTACAGTCACAAACTGCTGATAGTCTCCTAGCAACGAGACCAGGAGACACAGGAACACCGAACGAACCTCCTTGTCCTGCAAAATATTACAAATTATCCCAGTGAAAATTTACATTAACCCAGAAAAAATACGTATTTCAGATTGACTCTCAAAATCTATTCATCAAACAACAGAAAAACATGTAATTACTGGACACCTCAAAAAAATTTGCTGCTCGGATTAAAAATTTACCTGGAGTTCATCAGATTTGTGAGTGAGAAGTGAGTGTGTGGTGGTGTTAATGGCTCCAAACAACAAGTCCCTATACTCAATGTTAGGGTTGAGGATTCTGGCCAGGGCCCGGTGCACCGGTTCCAACATTGCCGGAGGGAGGAGTGGAATGGAGACGGAGGGGGGCGTGGTCATACGTCCGTCGTCCAGGTTCAGTTCCACCACGTCTCCCTAATGTTAACGGGGGTGGATTGAATTAGGGTACTATTATATTATATGTACAGTGGAAACTGCAAATCAAGAAAACGCTCTCCATAAAGACACTTGGTTCTGCCACATATGTACTAATTGCCGAGCGCGTTAGAGTGAGGCAACTACTCCGGGTTGTATTCTCGCGATATGCGTACGTACGTGTCGTCACGCTTAAGAATGTCAATTAGTCACGCTTAGGAATGTCAACTTCCGTCATTCATAGGAAGTCAGCTTCCGCCGTGCGCGCAGATTCGTAGGAAGTCTGGCTTCGCGCGCAGTCAGTAGAGCGCGCGCACGAGCGGCCTCAGTCGGACTGTTTACGTATTGGCTGGCAGGCGCAAGGCAAAATATGCGCGTGTGCATTCCTAGTACATTAGTGAAGGGACACCTCTGAATAAAGGACTACTTTCAATGCTCCAAGGTGTCCCTTACTCAGAGGTCGCATTCTTAAAAAAACACGATAATCCAATCCTCTCCTCACCAAATCTTCGAACACCTTCTTCCTCAGTGAGGTATGGAGGCCCATGATGTACAGTGATGGCAGCTGGACCATCTCAAGCAGTCCGCCCGGAACCACAGGCACCAGCGAATGTCTGGGTGAAGATGTAATGGCTCAATGGTAAGAATGCAAGCAAATCCATAAATTTTTACAAACATCAGTTCTATAGAGGGCCAAACTTAAATTGAAAAAAATTTTCTCACATTTTTTCTCAAATTTTTTCTCAAACCTTTTCTGAACACAAGTTGAAAAACTTACCTATAGGGGGCTAAAAAATTATCTTACGAAAGTAGAAAATTTTTTTTTCAGTTGCTTACAAAAGTTGAAAAATGTCTTGAAAAACTTTCTCTATAGCTACTAAACTTAGGAAAGTTTAAATTTCTCGACTAAACGAAAGTTGAAAACTTTCTCCTAACTTACGTACGAGAGCCGTAGAGGATGCAGTAGAGAACAGACGGTGTGGACGGCGGACGTGAGGGCCGTAAAACTGGAGGAGATGAAGAGAATGCTGACGTCACAGAGGAGGGTGGAGAGAAGATGGATCATGTTGTGGACACCTGCGGAAGAGAAGGGAGAGAGAGAGAGAGAGAGAGAGAGAGAGAGAGACTTGGCATATATGTACGTACACGTAGTAGAATTCCACCAGTGAAGTTTAAAAATCAAAACAATTTAGCCCCCTTCTACCAAATTTGTGTGTTAGTTGCTATACCACGTACGTACGTATCGACTCACCAATGCTCTGTAAGAGTTTGAAAGCCCCGGTGGAAGTATAGGGCAGCGAGCTCTCTTCGTGAATTGGAGGAAGAATTATATCACCGAGTTGACCAATGGGTTTCGTGATTGGTAGACAGTTGAGTGGAGGGAGGGTGAAGGAAGTTAGGAAATGGGCGACAATTTCTTCGAGTGGCGAGGAGTCCGATTAGCCAGTTCAGGTACAGACCTTTGAGGCAGCTCTGAGCGAGAGAGAGAGAAGAGGGAGAGAGGGAGGAGAGGAGGGAGGAGAGGGTGGGAGGAGAGAGAGAAGAGGGAGGGAGGGAGGGAGGTAATGGCTGTCCCATAAGTGTCACAGGTGGGTCAAATGTTGCATGCACGTCGCGCCACGCCCGTGCCCACGCGCGAGGATAACATTTCATCTTCGCGGCAGGACGGTGAGGTTGTAAGCATGGACAAAAAACAACCACCAGCTGTATTCCCAAGTGTAAACAGCTTGTTTGTTTAATTCCGATCATTCCAGTAGTATGCAATCATAGCACCTTTGATGATGTTTATATAATACAAATCTGCTGATGGGGATGCTTTCAGTGCTAAAGTGCATGTGTACATATCAACTGCATCTAGGACAACACTTTCTAAAGATACATAGCTGCCCTGGGTGGGACTCAAACCCACGACATTCTGTTCTCTGGACAAGTGCTCTACTGAATGAACTATGCATGTATACATGTACATAGTATCACTAAGTACGGTAGTACTCAGTATATAGGGATGACACAGGTTGTCCTGCATTATACCCATACATTTGAGATTTTCATGTTTCATCTCAGTTTTCAATCAGGTCCAAACTATTGACACATCAGAAGTATAGGGCTCTAAGTCTGAAATACAGTACTAAAAGAGGGACAATCTCAGAGAGAGAAGGTAGAAGCAAAAAAGATAAGGGAGGAGGAAAGAGAGGGAGAGGGAAGGAGAGGAGAGAAAAGGAGAGGGAAAGAGAGAGAAAGGAAAGAGAAGAAGAAGGAAAGAGAGGAGATAAAAGGAAGGAGAAAAGGAGAGAAGGAGAGAGAAATAGCGAAGGGAAAGAGGGAAGAGAGGGAGAAGAAGAAGAAGGCACACCTGCAAGATGTCAAAAAGCGGCAGTCGCGACACGAGACAGAAGGAGACTGGGATGAACATCTCGTGAGGGTTGTTGACAATTGCCTCAGGCGACCAGTTGGCTTCGAGAGCTTCGTCGAGACAGTCGAACGATGGTGAGCTTCTGAATCTCGCGATTTGGCATGCCTCCGCGATACTAGACACGTCTGTGGAGAGAAGAGGGGGAGACTAATGGAATGTGGCAGTATAATTTTAGAAATGTTGCTAAAGATAGAACAAAACAATAGGGGCTCAGTGAAAGAATGCAATTGAGTTCCAGTTTTAGTAAAATTTTCAAAAATTTAGCTCTTATAATACTGCCATTCCCTTTAAGAGTACATATACTTGAGAAAACGAACATGCATAAAAGTGAACTACAGTCAAGGAACGAAATGTACGCATCACATGATGTACAATTTGTCGTGATGAGCTGGTAGTTGGGGATCTCCTTGTACAAATGTACAATCTTCGCAGAAAACTTTCAAGCTTAGGTGATTCGGTGATAAAACTAGAACTTTGCTAAATGCCTTTTCTGCCATGTATACAAAGATGAAAAATTTAACTTTTCGTCTTTACGAAAGTACCGAAATATTCTCACTTGAAGTGTATGTAAAAACCCTCACCTTGTTCAGCGGGCGCAGACAGCATCCGTTTCTTGGCGCGTTTGTTCTGTGACTCCAACTGGTAGAAGGTGAGGGAGGAGCAGAAGAGGCGCTTGCCATCTTCGGCAGTGAGAATGAAGGTGGTGAGGGAGGGAGGGGAGGGGGTCGTGGTTCGACTCCAGCCGAGTGGCTGGCAGAACTGCGGGAAGAGAGAGAGAGAGGAAGAGTGTAACCTCTGATAAGGGACCCTCCGAGATAGGGACACCTCTCTACAAAGGACACTTGTTTCAACCCCATGCTAATACTTTAGTGTATTATTTGACCTCCGAGATAGGGACGACCTCTCTACTTGTTTCAACCCCATGCTAATACTTTAGTGTATTATTTGACCTCCGAGATAGGGACAACCTCTCTACTTGTTTCAACCCCATGCTAATTCTTTAGTGTATTATTTGACCTCCGAGATAGGGACGACCTCTCTACTTGTTTCAACCCCATGCTAATACTTTAGTGTATTATTTGACCTCCGAGATAGGGACAACCTCTCTACTTGTTTCAACCCCATGCTAATACTTTAGTGTATTATTTGACCTCCGAGATAGGGACAACCTCTCTACTTGTTTCAACCCCATGCTAATACTTTAGTGTATTATTTGACCTCCGAGATAGGGACAACCTCTCTACTTGTTTCAACCCCATGCTAATTCTTTAGTGTATTATTTGACCTCCGAGATAGGGACAACCTCTCTACTTGTTTCAACCACATGCTAATACTTTAGTGTATTATTTGACCTCCGAGATAGGGACAACCTCTCTACTTGTTTCAACCACATGCTAATACTTTAGTGTATTATTTGACCTCCGAGATAGGGACAACCTCTCTACTTGTTTCAACCCCATGCTAATTCTTTAGTGTATTATTTGACCTCCGAGATAGGGACAACCTCTCTACTTGTTTCAACCCCATGCTAATTCTTTAGTGTATTATTTGACCTCCGAGATAGGGACAACCTCTCTACTTGTTTCAACCCCATGCTAATACTTTAGTGTATTATTTGACCTCCGAGATAGGGACGACCTCTCTACTTGTTTCAACCCCATGCTAATACTTTAGTGTATTATTTGACCTCCGAGATAGGGACGACCTCTCTACTTGTTTCAACCCCATGCTAATTCTTTAGTGTATTATTTGACCTCTGAGATAGGGACAACCTCTCTACTTGTTTCAACCCCATGCTAATTCTTTAGTGTATTATTTGACCTCTGAGATAGGGACAATAACTATTATTATACATGAGTGGGAGAGGATTATTGCTAATGCATATTTCATTAGCACTGCCAAATTCCTTACAAGATCCATTAGATAATGTCACAAGATTAATGTATATAATGACATTACATCATATGCTACATGGTTTACTAGAGAGTGAGTACACAATATCAACAGGGGAAGGGGGGGGAAGCTATTAGTTATGCACACAACCATTTCCCCCAAAAACACTATGAACTGAATTGTCTTACAACACACAAGTACAGTATAAGTACATTTCCTGGCCTATATTTGGCAAGTGGGAGACGTAAAATCAGTTGAAAGAGTAAGCCATATGTTTAACAATAGAACCTCTGGCACACTTGTGAATACTAGAACAAATGAAACAAAAGCATTTTTGGCGAGCTAGCTGAGTTCAAAATTTCAGTGAATTTACCCAAAATTAGCATGACCATAATATGGATGATAACCGTGCTTTTGACTGTTTGATACATGATTGTATATGTATAGAAAATCACACACTTAAGAAGACTAAGGTACGTAAGTTCGCTTTTCTTGCCAAGTAATACATACTTAGATGTCGCCAGATTCAAATTGACCAATCAGATTGCGTAGGGCCCTCGGGGCGTATAAATCCCGTATTTCCATTGACGCAGAGTATAACCTATACATACACATTGCAACAGTGGAACCCCTCTAATCCAGACGCAATAAGTATGAGGTGTCTTTATTGAAGAAACGTCAACAAATCAATATTGCAAGTTACGTTGAAACTGAAACGTACTATTTCAATTCCCCTCGGAAGTGGCGTGGTTTTTCTGTCAGTTACTGGAAACCTCTGCAGAATGGTGCCCGCGTATGTGGGGGTTTGTGATGGATCTGTAGACAGATAAAAGACAGACACACAGACAGATAAGGACGGACGGACAGATAAAAAGACAGACACACAGACACACAGACAGATAAAAAGACAGACACACAGACAGAAAAAAGACAGATAAAAAGACAGATAAAAGACAGATAAAAGACAGTTAAAAAGACAGACACACAGACAGACAGACAGACAGACAGATAAAAAGACAGACACACAGACACACAGACAGATAAAAAGACAGATAAAAGACAGATAGATAGACAGATTGCCACACAGGCTACATTTATATAAGCTATCAAACCCCTCACTCGTGCTATTGTGTACACATATGGTATACCGTAAACTGAAGAAACAGTCATGTGATGTTTGCTTACACTTGACTTCCACTGGTCCGTATATATACACACCACATGTTGTGTACCAGTAAATATAACTCCCTTTGATGTGCATGTGCGCAAACATAGGTAGAAGACAACCGGTGCACGTTATGGTTGACTTCAGCTTGGCACCTCACTAATCAGTTCTGAGATCAGGGCACCTCGCTAATCAGGGCACTTTATTCCGACACCTCGCTAATCAGGACACTTTCTTTTGAGATCAGGGCACCTTGCTAATCAGGACACTTTCTTCTGAAATCAGGACACCTCGCTAATCAGGACACTTTCTTCTGAGATCAGGGCACCTCACTAATCAGGACACTTTCTTCTGAGATCAGGGCACCTCGCTAATCAGGACACTTTCTTCTGCCCCATTGGTGTCTAGATTAGAGGGGTTCCCCACGGCAAGGACCAGCTAAGCTCAACATCGGTGTGCGAATGTCCTGAAACATAGGTCCTATTCAAAAGCAGGTGTATGCATACTATCCATCCATGCAGAGCTATGGCAAACGTGGCTGAGCACCATGTAACCATAACACGGAGCTCACATAATGGAACAAGTGCCGACTGTATGTAAACCATTATCCTGATACGAACTCACACGTACAGCACTACACAGCAGCCGCTACTAACATACACGCGCGCGCTCACATTCCATTTCACGGACCTGTCTGGGCATTTTGAGACGGACGGCCACCTTCATCTTTCCTCTGAACAAGGCCAGCCACCAGGACGTATTCCACGACCCTCGTTCCACGGCTCATCTCCCTCGCCAATCGTGCAGAGCCTAGACTACAACATACAACTAGTAGCTAACCTAAGCAGCTAGAGGTGATTTAGAGAAAACCAGCCACTCCCCAAAACACACAAGGCTTTCCCCGGTGAGTTTGATATTTCCCTTTCGTTCAATTAGATACACGTGACGAGATTATGCGCATGCGTAGAGCTGATCACGTTACGCGCGCGCGCAATCAATTTATACGATGCAGTTTCTGAAGGGAGATAGTGAAGAAAGAGTAATAAACCAGATTAACACAAGATTCGGAAGTGATTTGGAGCATAACACAGAAGAAGGGATGTTGTTGTTAGTTCATGTTTGGCTATACTTCTCCGAAGTTGATGTGACCGGTCTCCATTGCGTGTCTCTGTGCCTCAGACTGTCCCTGTAGACCAGTCCCACATGCCAGGCACTTGAGAGAAAATTTCGCAACGTCCGTGTACTGACGAGCCTGCAGGGAGGGGAGATTATTGTGGTGAATGAGCTTTGATTTAATGAGAGAATAGGGAAGGGGAGGGATGATGAATATGCTTGAGTAAAACACAAGAACCTCTCTTTAAGCATGCCCCTGTAATGAGAACACCTCTTTATTGTTTCTGGATCACCAAACCAAGAGAAAAAAGATAAGAGCTATATATAGAACATAGGGAGGTAAAACAAAGAGAAACGAAAAGGGAGAGAGGGGGAGGAAAATGTGAGGGAGACACCTGAAATGCTTCTCTCGCCAGCTGAGAAGCCTTCTCCAGAATCCTTGCGTCGCTCACGGGGAACATTCTCTGACCGCCGGCCCCGCCCACTCCCTCCATGACCAGAGGATCGTAGTGAATGCCGTCGTATATCAGCAGGGCTCTGTCCCTGAACCCTGCACCTTCACCTGTGTGGATGTTGGATACAGTTACAAAGTGATGCATCTTGGGAGCAAAATTAGGAGATATACACAGAAGACTTTTTTAGGGGGATGAGATTAGTAACAAACATTGACACTCATACACTTCAAACAAAGGGGAAACTGGATTCTTTTTAATGATGCCACCAGAAAAGATCGGAGTACTGTATATTGATATAATGTCTGTGCCATGTATCAACTTTCTTCTAAAAAAAACTGGAGTGCTATCTATCGATGAAAACTCACCAAAACGATCGATTCTCTGGCTCTGTATGTCCACCACATCCAGCTCAACTTTATAGTGCTCACTTAGTACCGATAGCTCTATTGCTCCTGCAGTAGAGAGAGAGAGAGAGAGAGAGAAAGAGATATGTATATATGTATGTATGTCACTAGTTTGTCATTTTACTGTGTTTGTGGTTCAATGTGATTGTGCGGTGGTTTTGTACGTCACCTAGGCAATTAGATCATTGGTCTACACCACTCCTCATCTCGTATGTACCATTCATCAAAATGAAGATGTCACACACACGAGAGATGGTTAGGGAGTTTCAATGAACACTTACCTCCCCAAGATTCATCTCTCAGTAGCCATTCCACGTACTCCTGCCTCTCCTTCCCCAACACCACAGACGAGTATCGATGAGGATTAGACAGAATAATCCCGGCCGCCAACTGGCGCAGCTCTGACGGCGAATCCGTGTCGTTTGTGATCAGGTAACTGCAGACACAGGGGTCATGTGACTAGTCGCGTGATATCACGTGAGAGGTCCGCCTACCTGATGCTCCTGAAGAGGCACGAGTTGTCAGCTGGCACTATTCTATGGCAAATGACAAAATAGACAAGTCACTCAAAAATAAAACATGCTTTTGCGTATAATTGTACCTTCTTGCTAGCTTAGGTTGGGCTTGAGACAACAGCGAGCTGTAGCAGAGTCCCATACCACTCCCTCCCTTATCTCCCGAGCCCGGCCCTCTGCCTCTGCCTGAACCACTGGACTGAAAAGAACGAGTGACGCAAATCTTGTCACAGTGGTGCCACGCGCGCGCGCGCACGAGCAGCAAACGACACTAAATTTGCGTTTGAAACAAACAAAAGCACTTACCATCGTGTTTCAAGCCTGTATTACGTGCTCCAGAAGTCTGTTACTGTCCCTATTTGTACTGCTTTATGCCGCAACACTACTTAGCGTCCTCGTTCCAATTGACGCCCATCTGTTTGTGCTGACTCAGCAGATAGTGAACTGGCCTTTGTATTACGCGCATGCGTAAAAATTACCTCTTTCATCATCACTCGAATCCCCAGCTTGCCGAGGAGAAGTGCATAGAAAGAACCATATCGAATGGCTGCCGCAGTGTCTGCAGTGTTTCTACGAAGCGGCCGCCGCCTGGAGAAGGTATAAACCTGCGAAACATTTAGGGGGGGTGCGGCGTATTGGGCGGGCCCCTATAGTCTATCACTATCTTTCCTTTTGCAGGCCTTTAGGTCAAGCGTTTTGCTGACATCGCTACGGTCCGTATCAACGTTCAAGGTAAGTGTGCTAATACCCAGGTAAGGACCCCTACCTAATTACTCATAATGACTATAATATATTGAGTTTACCTGGTGGCAAGTGGCGAGTGAAGTCGTTGGTAATGTCTCATTCCCAATCTTGGTTCCAGCATGAGGGAATAGAAGTCAGCCTTACCCAGGACCCACGACCCAAGTCACCGGTCGAAGACCTCACATTCGGGGCCGAATACTCGGACCACATGCTATTGGTCAACTGGACAAAGATCGACGGATGGGACACCCCGAAAATCGTCCCGTACGGAAATCTGAGTCTGTCACCTGCTCTTAGTGCACTTCACTATTCTACTGAGGTATATATATATGCATGTAGCCCTTGGCACCACATGGTCTGATACCTTCTTGCACAGGGCATTGCATGGATGACGATTGGTACACTTGTTATACATACGTACGTTGCGTAATGCAAAGGCCACGTAAGATTCAAACTCTGTGTGTTCTGTTTATGAATATTTCCTGTTCTTATGCTATTTTCGTACTAAGGCAGTTTAGTTGTGAAAAACTTTCTCTTCTGTTTTTTTCCCCAACTAGTGTTTTGAGGGAATGAAGGCATTCAAGGGAGTAGATGGAAGAGTCCGTCTGTTTCGACCGATGGAGAACATGAAGAGACTCGGCAGATCTGCCGTGGCCGCCAGCTTACCTGTGAGTCACATGACTATCACGTGACCTCTGACCCCTCTCTCTGTGTAATATTATTCGTATATATCATACAGACTTTCGTACTAACTACTTACATGTATTACTCTGAATAACGGACACTTTGGGTAACATCATTCATCAGATGCATCCCATATTCACTGGGTCTCTATTCACTATTTTCACGGCATATTCATGTCCGGGATGCACCATAATGAGAAAGGTACTTGAACCCTCACGCAGAAACTATGCATTGAATTTGCCAATCTCTCCTGCAAATTACAATTTTAGTTGTTGAAGAGTGCAGAAAATTTCATACTTTGTGGTGCTAGATCATGTGACTGTCATGTTGCTCTGATCCCCCTGTCTCTGATCATGTGACTGTCACGTGACCGACATCTGATCATGTGACTTTAGCACTGACTCCATCTCTCTATCATGTGACTGTCACATGACTCCCTGCAGGAATTCGACAAGGAGGGTTTCCTGGAGTGCATCAAGGACCTTGTCAGGGTTGACAGAGATTGGGTCCCTCAGCCGACGGAGACCATCAAACACCCTTCTCTCTACATCAGACCTACCTTCATTGGCACCGAGGTATTATAACTAACTACCGTGCATATGGAGGAACCCCTCTCTAAGGACACTCCTGAAATGAGGACACCTCTCTAAGGACACTCCTGAAATGAGGACACCTCTCTAATAAGAACACCATTTCTTTCCCCAAAAACAGCTCTTGCATGCAATTCAACCCCTGAAATGAGGACACCTCTCTAATAAAGGGACAGCCTGACAATGAGGACACCTGCGTCTAATAAGGGCACCGTTTCTTTCCCAAGAACAGCTCTTGCTTGCAATTCAACCCCTGAAATGAGGACACCTCTCTAATAAGGACACCCCTGAAATGAGGACACCTCTCTAATAAGGGCACCATTTCTTTCCCCAAAAACAGCTCTTGCATGCAATTCAACCCCTGAAATGAGGACACCTCTCTAATAAGGACACCCCTGAAATGAGGACACCTCTCTAATAAGGGCACCGTTTCTTTCCCCAAGAACAGCTCTTGCTTGCAATTCAACCCCTGAAATGAGGACACCTCTCTAATAAGGACACCCCTGAAATGAGGACACCTCTCTAATAAGGGCACCGTTTCTTTCCCCAAGAACAGCTCTTGCTTGCAATTCAACCCCTGAAATAAGGACACCTCTAATAAGAACACCTTTTCTTCCCCCAAGAACAGTTCTTGCATGCAATTTAACCCCTGAAATAAGGACACCTCTCTAATAAGGACACCTTTTCTTCCCCCAAGAACAGTTCTTGCATGCAATTCAACCCCTGAAATAAGGACACCTCTCTAATAAGGACACCTTTTCTTCCCCCAGGAACAGTTCTTGCATGCAATTCAGCCCCTGAAATAAGGACACCTCTCTAATATGGACACTTTCTTCTGTCCCATTGGTATTCCAGCAATAAGGCTTTCAGGGCAGGCTCTACAATGCCCCACGCATGTTGCTTGTTACCTACTTCCTCCCTCCCTCCCTCCCTCTCCTCCCTCCCTCCCTCCCAGCCATTCCTAGGAGTCCGAGAGCCCCACAACTCCCTCCTCTACTGCATCACCTCACCTGTCGGCCCCTACTTCAAGACTGGCACGTTCCAACCAGTTTCTCTGTATGCCGACCCCGCCTTTATTCGGGCGTGGCCAGGCGGAGTCGGGGAGTCTAAGATGGGCGGGTGAGTCATTCTATACTTCAGTAAATTCTTCGATAGAATTAAGGGGAAAAACTCGTTTTCATTGCTGTGAACTGTTCACTTCTTCCAGGAACTATGGCCCAACAATACGTATTCAGAGGATTGCTGAGGCCAAAGGTTACACCCAGGTACTGTGGCTGTTTGGAGAAAACCACGAGGTAATGATGACGTAATCGCATTACGTAATTATGATGTAATGGATAAAAATACAGCTGACAGAGGTTGGAACGATGAATATCTTTGTTCACTGGATCAACGAAGATGGAGGTGAGCATGATATACCTATAATTGTATGACATCATCGGTATTATGTCATGATGTAATTGGTATTACATCACTGTTACTATTTTAGACCCAGAGATAGCCACGCCTCCTCTGAGTGGTACCATTCTTCCCGGAGTGACTAGATTGTCTCTTCTGGAGCTGGCTGCCACTTGGGTTATTCTCTTTCTCTCTCTTTCACACACACACACACACACACTGGTTTTAGCATGCCATTTACACACACTTAATTCTTAAATTTGTTAACCCAGGGAAGTCACAAGGTTGTTGAGAGGACAATAACTATGGATGACGTCAGGAAAGCAGTGAAAGAAAACAGAGTAAGTATTGGTAGTGGCTATTATAATACTTACACACTCTCTCTCTCCCATTCTCAGCTGAAGGAGATGTTTGGAGCTGGAACAGCTTGTGTAGTTTGTCCCGTCGCCAAAATAGCATTCTTGGATGAGGTGAGATTAGAGAGGTGTCGTTATTTCAGGGATTAAATTGCATGCAAGAACTGTTTTTGGGGAAGAAAAGGTGCCCATATTAGAGAGGTGTCCTCACTACAGGAAGAAAATTAATGTTGTTAGGGGAAGAAAAGGTGTCCTTATTAGAGAGGTGTCCTCATTTCAGGGGTGTCTTTAGAGAGAGGGTTCCTATAAACCTCTTAGGACACTTCTATAACCTCTCAGTACGTTGTGATTTTTTCTTTCAACGCAGCATTTGACAATACCGACGATGGAGAGTGGGGCTGAAGTAGCTCAGAGATGTCTGAAAGAACTGACTGACATTCAGGTGTGCATTACTACCGTATTACATTTTTAACTCTCTTTGAGCCAAATTTAATTAACTCTCTTTGAACCAAGTTTAACTCTCTTTCTCCCAACAGTTACGACACTGAACACGAATGGCAGCATCGATGCATTTTTTCAGTGCTAAGAAAACAGAAAACTATTTGATTATTTTAACTTTTTGCAAGGCTTAGAGCTTAACCAAAAATACTATTGTGTGTGTTTATTATAGATAAATGCCATGTATTTACTAAAGAAACAGTATTTTGTATAAAAAGTTTTGACGTAAACGATTTTTGACGGGGGCGGGGCTGTCTCCTCGGAGTCGGACAAAATCTCACACGTTAAAAAAGCGTCTTGTTCCATCCGAAGGTAAGAATGAGCGCAGCGTTGCTAGCTTGTTGCTATGGGGCGGTATTCGTGTCAGTATTTAAACGTCGATTTTGCCAAGGCATTTCCGTTTTGCCGCGGCAAAATTAAACTGCCGCGGCAATTGCCCCGGCAAAACCTGGGCCGAAAAATCCGGGACATTTGCCGCGGCAAGAATAACTAGCTGGGCCATGTTCAATCGTGTCAGTATTCTTGTCGTTGCCGGGCCTTTTGCCGCGGCAAAAGTGCTCTTGCCTCGGCAAATTGCCATTTGCCGCGGCAATAGACCAGTTTCACAGTGGGCGGAGATAATTGAACCTGACGTCACATCCGGAGTCCCGTTCTGGCTCCAGCAATGTATTTAGAAACTGGAACCGTCCGTACTTAGAGCGGCGCAGCACGTAGCTCTTAGGAACAAGCTAGAGCGTCCGTTCTTTTTCTCACGCATATACTACAGTTACTGCAATATCGCAAAAGTAACTTATAAATAGAGCATACCGTAAGAGCTACGTGCTGCGCCGCTCTAAGTACTGACGGTTCCAGTTTCTCAATACATTGCTGGAGCTAGAACGGGACTCCGGATGTGACGTCACGTTCAATTATCTCCGCCCACTGTGAAACTGGTCTATTGCCGCGGCAAATGGCAATTTGCCGAGGCAAGAGCACTTTTGCCGCGGCAAAAGGCCCGGCAACGACAAGAATACTGACACGATTGAACATGGACCCAGCTAGTTATTCTTTGCCGCGGCAAATGTCCGGATTTTCGGCCCAGGTTTTGCCGGGCAATGCCGCGGCGAGTTTAATTTTGCCGCGGCAAAACGGAAAGGCCTCGGCAAAATCTACGTTTGAATACTGACACGAATACCACCCCATAACCCTCGGGGAATGTGGGTAGCGCCCTCGCTGCGCTCGGGACGGCAACATTCCACAGCCCCTCGGGTTGCAATGTAGCGTAGACACCTCGCTTCCGCGTCTAACCTATATTTGAGCCAAGTTTAACTCTCTTTCTCCCAACAGTACGGCACGTGGAACACGAATGGGCAGTGGTCATTGACTGAAGAAAACAGAACACTATTTTGTACACACTTTTTGCAAGGCTTAGAGCTTTTAGGACAACAACTAAATTACTATTGTGTGTTTATTATAGATAAATGTCATGTATTTACTAAAGAAACAGTATTTTGTATACCACACCTTAAAAGGTTTTTATATAAAAGGTTATGGGGCTGAAATGCTATTGTTTTAAGAAAGATGCTAAATGTTCACTGATAGGCTTGAGAGTGTCAAATCCCTCGTCGTCAGATTCTGTTTCAATTTCACGTTCGACATCTTCTGAAATCCTCTTCAACACTCCCCCTCTAGTACCACTCGAGAGAGAAGCTAACAAAGAAGATGGAGAGGAAGAAGAAGAGGAGTTTTGTTTGAGAGAGAGGAGGAGGGAGAGAGAGGGGTGAAGGAAGGTCTGTCTTCTCTGGAGGTAGTTCTCGCCGGACTGGAGACTTGCCAGGAAGGCTAGAGTGTCAGCTGCAACTCTCTCACAACAGTCAACTGATGGAGGAAAAACTATGGAGTAAAGGCTCCTCCCTCCACAACTGAATACCCAAATACTCTAAAATTTTCCGTTGCATGAATACAACATCTGACTAACTATGCATTTGCAACGTCCCTAACCCAATTGACGGGTATCTCCTTAAATAAGCAGAAATTGGTGTATAAAGTATTAGTGCCTAGTATTAAACCCCCATATACATTCTAATGGACTTATGAAGGCTCTGGGCACATTTACTGTAGCTGGTTAAGTGTTAAAACCCTTTGGACGCCATGGATATCTGCCTAAATAAGCAGAAATTGATGTAAAAAGTATTAGCACCTAGTATTATAACCCCCATATACATTCTAATGGACTTATGAAGGCTCTGGGCACATTTACTGTAGCTGGTTAAGTGTTAAAACCCTTTGGACGCCATGGATATCTGCCTAAATAAGCAGAAATTGATGTAAAACGTATTAGCACCTAGTATTATAACCTCCATATAAATTCTTATGGACTTATGGAGGCTCTGGGCACATTTACTGTAGCTGGTTAAGTGTTAAAACCCTTTGGACGCCATGGATATCTGCCTAAATAAGCAGAAATTGATGTATAAAGTATTAGCACCTAGTATTATAACCCATGGACTTATGAAGGCTCTGGACACATTTATGGCTGGTTAAGTGTTAAAGCAACCATGACATAAGGCACAGCTAT